ATAGTCTCCTTCACAGTTCCCTGCRCCATCTTGAAAGGTAGCCGTGCCTTTACATCRAAGMGAGACRACCGTTGAGCGYGCAWTGATAGAWACCTGTGAATAATATTGTCTGTAKGTGTGAAAGARGGTTTCATTGCACGCTCAATGGTTGTCTTGCTTCWATGCAAARGCAYGGCTACCTTTCAAGATGGCGCTGGGAACWGYGAAGAAGACTATTAAATTTCTGATCTACTTTACCAACAACATCATAGGAACTATTGAATGAAATCTGCAAAACTAACATTTGTGTTATTTCCTGTTAAATTGCTAAATATTCTGAATGAAAGATTTTGAATTTGTGACTGCTGTAGGTCCTTGTTGCACTCTGTCATGCCTTGATGTCTTCCGATGCAATTGATAACTTTATTGAAGCCAGATATGAGGAATACCTTGGATTGAGGTGAGGTTGAATTTTACTCTTACTGATAACTACTACTTAGAATTGATAATTTTTAATATTATCCTTGTTATCTTTGTTTTAGACGACAAAAGCTGAAGGAAGAGCAAGAAATAAGAATAAAGAAAAAAGAAGAAAAGGAGAAAGAGAAAAATGAACGGATAGAAAAAGAGAAAAATGAGCAAGAAAAGGTATTATATTTCAATTGAAAAATATTGTTTAAAAAGCTGAAAAATATTAAACAAAAATTAAAAGCTCAAAGAGAAAATATATTGCATCCATATTTCCTTCCATCCTTTCGATTTCATTTTACTGAATTTTTTTGTTCCAGAAAATGTCTACMGGAAACAATTCAGGTATGTTATAATAACCTGTGTATAATGTTCCCAACCCCAGCCCCCTCAAGTTTTTATTCCACAGGGATCCAGTTAAGTGTATTGATTTTCCTCTTAACTTTTTTTTCCCTTCTGGCTTTGTAATAAACAGAAGCAACCAACATGGCTGCAAAACCATCCGAAGAAAGCAATAGTCCACAAAACAATATCATTGATGTCCTCCTGAAGGACGAGAAATCCAGCGGAGAAAAGAACGAAGAGATGAATAATGTGGGAAATCTCACTAAAGATGAGCCTAGTGAATTAGCCAAGACAATCAAGAACAGAAGATTGCAAGTAGAATTGAAAAAGCAAGAAATGGAGAAAAAAGAAAAAGAACAAAGAGAGAGGTAAGGTTTATTCTTTTATTTGTGATTTAAGTTTTTGTGGTTACCCCATCTCAAAACAGAGAATCACCATGTAATTATGTTGTAAGTAAGCAAGTAAGAATGTAACTTTTCCCTGTCTTTGATTTATTGACGTTTTATGAGTATTGTATTTTAAATTCTTTCAATTGCAATTTACAAAGAGTTTATTTTTTATTTGTTTTCCCACTTTTTCTCACCCATCTTTTTTAGACGTTTAAAAGAAGAGGAGGAATTCCGCAGAGAGCAAGTCAGACAGGAACATGAGGTAAGGAATTGATGGCTTATAGTTGTGATTTAGCTGATGTGATTAATGTCCCACACTAAGTGAAACTAGACGCTTTGTAAAGCGTGATGCGGGCTAGCTTAGCAAAAGATTGACAATACAAGATAAAAATTGTATCTCCAATGAATATTGTGACTATGACGTAACTATATATGAAAGTAAAATATGCCAATGAATACCTTAGTTTTCTTTGCAGTTCAATTCTTATCGTTAACCTTCACTGTCTGCTATAATCTTATCATAAGCTATATCAACTATCAACCATAATCTTTGTGCTATAGTGATTGTCCTACATTTGCAATGTATTTTGTAAAAATATTTATGGAAGCTCTTTACTTCTTGGTTAGCGATATCACATCTATTATTATTTACATAACAATGCATTTTAGATGGCATGAGTGCATTCTTTAAATTTTGTTTTTATTAGCCTTTCTTTCGTACAAAAGAAATCTAAAAATTGAAGCAAAACAAAGCTCAATTTCAAAACTTGTACTTTGTCATTTTTAACTAATAAAAAAACCCGATGATATTAAAGCAATTTCTTTGAATTTAAACAATAAAAACATTGTCAATTAAACAGAAGAATACCTTTTGCTGTCTATAAATGTGGTAAAAAAGCCAGTATTTGAGCTGATTTCAT